AAATATCTCCAAAACATTGTGAATTGAAGAAATCTATTTTATTTCTTCAAAATTCCAAGGAATCAGAGGTAAAATGAGAGGTTTTGTGACGTGAGGATTTGAAGTTCCGCAGAGTTTGTGATTTGAAGAACTCATTTTTTTTTTTTAGCCTGAATAAGCATTTAGGCCCAAATCTGTCTTTTGGCCGGAATTGGACTTATAGCCCGAATCAAAGTTAAAGTAATTTTTTTTCGTCCATGGAGTGAATTTGGGAATTCAAAGTTATTTCTACAAAATTATCATTGCTGTTTTCTAAAGTGGACGAAAGACCCCTCTAGTCCGGTGGTCCAATTAGCCCTTCACAAAAGCTAGCTTGAAAATCAGAACAGAATGTGGCGTTTAAACTAGTATCTAAGAACATTTTACACAAAGCGCTGAAGTTCTGTCTTCCTTTGCATATGTACTAACATGTTATGTTTTTCGGAAAATAATGTCCGATTTTAGAATCAACATTTATTCCTGAAATTAATATATTTTATCAGTGTTTAAATTAGTCAAATTAAGAACCCCGAACAGTTTTCTACCATCGTTTTACAAGTTTATTTCTGCATTTACGACCAAATTCTAAAAAGTTCGTACGTTTTCTTTGAGTGCTGTTTCTGCCTCTTCTTTGCAACGGAATCTCTTTTGGTTTAAGATGTTTGAAAAAGTGGCAGTTAATGGTGGAAAGAGCTGGTGTGTATGGCGGATGTACTAAAGTCTCGTATCGGTGATCTTCTGCAGTATCACCCTGGTAACATGTGGCCGAGCATTGTCATGAAGCAGAATTGAACGTTGTCGTCTAACCAATACCGGTCGCATTTTATTTACCGTATATACTCCCGGATAGGTCACCCCGGACCAGTAGGTAGCACCCCCCCACACTTTATGGCTTAATAATTGATAATTTATTGCTGACTCGCAGATAGGTCGCACTATAATCTGGGGAGTTACACAACCCTTTTTAAACGTAAGAATTATCAGATATCTACTTTTATTTCTACCTTTATTTCAAAACTTACAATTATTAATACATTTTTGAAGTTAAAATACGTTTCGTCAATCATTTAAACAAAAAGAATTAACTGTTGTACCGGTATTTTTATATTTACTGGATATTATTTTTATATCGAGTCAATTCGACAGAAGAAAAAAAGAAATATATACACAAGAAAATGTTACTGTACATTTAGAAAAAAGTGTTATCTATTTATATATCAAGTTACAGTTTAAAAATGCATTCAGAACTGAATCCCAAGACTCTTCTTCACTATCATCGCTGTCAAACATTCTAATTTCTGTTGATTGATTTCCAGGTTCTTCTGCATAATTTAGTACTTTTAATTTAAAACCCGCTTCATAACTCTTTCTTTTACTCATTATTAGTGTTTGCAACAATTAAAATTACAAACTATAAATTTGGTTACCGACTATATCGTCGCGCAATGCAAAATAGTGCATTTTTTTATTTGTAAAAAAAAAAAAAAAAAACTTAAGAACGCCTTTTAATGTTATATGAAACAACCATTAAAGAAAATTATCTCATAAAGAATATATTTCTTTAAGACATATTTTCCAACGTATTTTGATACACACATATATATATGATCGAAATAAAAGTGTAAAATTTAATATTACCAGACATATTAAAAATTAAAAAACAAAAACACAACAAAGGGGGGTCCGGTTTTCGCTCCCGCTCTTCATTTTTCAACAGCATTCAATTTTAATATTTTTTCTCCTGTACAATACTGAAGAGCGGGAGCGAAACCGGTTCCTCTATTGTGTTTTTTCTGCATTTAATATGTCTGGTAATATTAAATTTTACATTTTTATTTCGATCATTAAATTTTGTATACAAAAATATATATATATATAAAATATCTTTATATATATATATATATATATATATATATATATATATATATACACACACACACACTCTCTATCTCTGATATTGAGCACATTATTCCATAAATATAGCATACCTTAAGTCTATATTTCTTATATATATATATATATTTTGCAGAATGAATCGTGGGACTATTTTTTCTTTGTCAATAAACATCTATACGTGGTTCCTTAACTTATGTATGCATGTTCAGGGTTTTCTATATTAGTCTTGTGCGAGGGCCCCAACCGAACGGCGACTGATGGATCAATGAATAGTTTTGTTATGGAGTGTGAATTTTTTTTTTCTTCCGCCGTATGAATCCGTATACCTCGTCGCCAAGTGTTAAGTAGTGGTTTCACAGTGGAGGCTCGTAGTTGTACTAAGTCGGTCTTAAAATAGGTTGACGTACAAAACGTTAGGAACTTGATATAATAGGTAATGACGCAGAGAAATCTAGTTGTGGTGGCTGATACTTTAATATCCGACTAACGGTCGTCCGACATCGACTGACTAACCGACCCACTCAGCGACTTCTGGTTCTCTTACTATTATAGGTGGAAGAGTCTATTAACTATAGAATAGGTGGGTTCCACTATAACAATTTTATAATTTTATTTATTTATTCTGATGGATATGTGAATATTGCAGAATGAGGTAAGTTTAAAGCGGTGAGTCAGTATATACAATAAATTGTTTCTATATGGAGAAAAACCACAGCTTTAGTGTTTATCATTTCCTATTTCTCAGAAATCATGACAGAGCAGTAGCGTTGTTTTACATTTATTTGGAGTGGATATGTCGCCTAATATTTGGTGAAATTTCTTGTAAAAAAGTGCGACTTATCCGCGAGTATATACAGTAGTTGAATGTGCGTTTCATCCAATTCCTGGCAGAGATGCTCTGGTTAGATTTCAGGAAGTTGCAATGGATAATGCCAACATGGGACCACCAGTAACCATAATCTTCTGTTGACGCAATTTCGGTTTCGGAAAGCATTTGCGTCATTCGTCATAATCAAAGCATTGAGCCAATCGTTTACGATTGACATAAAGGATCCAATTCCCATCACTATTCAATCAACTAATGGATCCTTCAAATTTGGCAAAAGCAGCATCGAATACACTTCAAAACGTTAAACTCTTTGATATTCACTGAGTTCAGGTGGAACCCATTTATCAAGTTTCTTCATTTTGTCAATTTTCTTGAGATGTCCGAGATTTTCTTGAGATGTCTTGTATTCAAGCTTGTTGAAGAAATAAGAACCTATTGATCACTACGTATTCCGACATCAACGGAAGAGATTTCTTGAACTGTTTATACAAAATTTTTCAATCGACTTTTAATATTTAAATTTTTTTTTTTAAATCATCTTCGAATACGTTTTAACAACATCGCCCACGTGACGACTACGTGATCATATTTAAACAGAACGCTGATCTGTATAAAATTTCAGTTATCTGTTTGGATCAGTTGGGCTCTTATGTCCATCGTCTTTTGTGTTAAATTTTTATAAGTTCTAATGTTAATTATGTTTAAATGAAAATGTCCATGAAGATGGTCTTAAATAGACCGAAACGTCCGACGTCGACTTTATTTTAACATTAATACTACATAATTGCATATTCAGATTTTGTTTTTTCTGTATTTTTCTTTCATACTGTCGGATTTATATCCATATATTTGCTTATATATATATATATATATATATATATATATATATATATATATATATATACATACACACCAGTGTTTTACTGTCCGATCACAAGTGGATCTTTCACTCAATGCTGTGTCAATGTTGACAGAAGTTTAAGAAGCATTAAGCTTGAACTTATAAAAAAAAACAAAAAACAAAATAAATAAAAAAAACAAACAAAATGCATATTCAAGATGGCGGGTATATAATATTTTATGTTAAATCTTGAAAGCGATTGTTATAGAATTAACAAAGAGGATTCTCCTTTAATAATTAGAAATGAATAATTTAATTTTTGCGCAGCTATTATAATATATTAGAACACATACATTGCCACGAATAATTCTACTCTGTTTTCTATTTAAGCGGCGTAACATTTCTATTTTTTATGAATGAGGACGTAACTTTAGAAATTGCTGGAAATACATTATGTTTGTCGTAATGTTTTCTCTGATTGTTCAGTATCATCGATTTCCTTTTCTATCATTTATTATTCAAAAGTTCTTTTTAATAACATTTACCTATAATTTTATTCTCTTATCATTTTCTTATTTATTGACTGTAAGTGACATTTTCATTTGGATGAAGTCGTATCTTTAAATTTGTCATAACGTTATATTTTTATTGGTTCAGTGTAGTCAATTTTCAACAATAAAAAAATATGCGTTTTCATATATTTGATGACAATTTTCACTTTTATTCTTTTCTTGTTTATTTATTGCTTTCTATCATTATCATTTAAGATATATATAATGATATTTATTAAAGCGATACATTTGATGATTAACTGTTCACTCCAACATCCAGTGTAAAATATATATGTATGGTACATGGGGCTCTGGGTAGAGGTAGTACCTTTGATGTCCGGTACGTTCACTTTCTGATGGACGGGCATCACTGGTTCTCAACCATCTCTTAAATCTCTTACATGATGGCTCAAAGTTACCATGCCTCGGTAAACCACTTCAGCTGGCGGGCTAAACTCACGTAAGGGGGTGGTGTTAATACGGTACCACTGGGCGAAGGACCTTCACGACGCAGGTCACCGGCCAGGGCAGAAGGGTTCTTCAGATGAACTACAACGTCTATGCGTTCGGGACCAGGGCGAGTCATCTAGTTGGAGGAGATCAGTCGTGGTTTAACCTGGAGAGGGTTGGACTCCGCCAGGTTAGAATGCTCAAGAGACGCCACAGTATGAGCTCACTCAGAAACAACCTTATATCGGGATTGGTGGATAAGTCAGCACGTCGGCGCTTCTACGACCCATTCCGGGGTTAAAGGGGAAAAGGAAAGGAATGTAAAGAATTAGAACACAATTAAGAGGTTTGTTTGTTATTATTTTTTCTGAACAACCTAATATTTGTAAGTGCGCGTCTAGCCATTTGATAGAGCTTACGTACCGATCTTTCCTGGCATGTAAATCAGTCGACAACCACAGGTCTTGGCCATTAGGTTTGTACTGCATTCCAGTTTGCATGTAGATGTGGAATACTCATCGAAAAATTCGAGTTTTCTCTGCTGGCAACTGGCTGGTGGCTTCGGCAGATTTCTCAGCTGTTAAAAAAGCAAGGTATACACCGTTGACATTTTTTTATATAAAAGGAACAGTACCAGTATTGATCGTAATTAATTTTTTAATCATTTCACCCCGAACAAGGCAATAAAGCTACTAAGACGCAAGTGTTAGGGAATATGAGAATAAAAAAATACAATTTAAGAGAGAACAATACAAGAACAATAATTAAGTAGACAGAAGGTAACGATTAACATTGCATTTAAATTATTGAAGATTACTGTTGACAGGGAAGCTAGAAGCCGGAAGAGATTTCCACAAGTGAGAAGTACGAGAGATGAAACTGTTAGAATAGAACTTACGGTTACATCTAGCCATTTCAACTGTAAAATGATGAAACCTTGCCGCCAATCTAGTATGAAAGTATTAATAGAAAATGAACAAGGCAGCTACATTTTGCCGATGGGAAAGTGATTGAAGATGCCCGGTCAGGATTGCAAATTCTTCTTTGGATTTTATCAAGAATCTCTAAATATATAGCCAGAGCATTATACCATATGTGGCAGCAATATTCAAAGCAGCAAGGACGAATGATACACTTACAAATATGCAAGATAGATTCTCTCCAGAATCTAAGGTTAAAACAAAAAAGAAAGAATTAGTTAAGATAGCTAAAATTGAAAGGAAAAAAACGTGCTAATGCACCTAGCTCCTCTTAAATGGGAAGGTTTGGAGGCAGACCAAAGGAATAGCAGATGAAATAAAATGGTTAGAAAGGCATATTCTTAGGTGCCTAAACAACGGATAGGGATATTTTTATAAAATTTAATGTCGCTTGTGTTCTTAAAACTTTTTATCAATTTCTTCACTAACAATCCAGTCCACGAATTAATCATTATAATTTGTTACGGTGATTACAAACACTTCGATCCAAAGATTAGACCCGAAACTCCTCGAAAATTACTCCATGTATGCAAAACAAAAGCCCCATTCTATGACCATAGCGGAAATAGCTACGTTATGGCGTTATTATGGGTAACGCACTTGGCCCTATCTTCTGCAACAATTACATGTCACGCGTTGAAAACAACGTGATAATATAATATAAAAAAATCTACAAATGTTAATTTTTTATACGGACAGAAAACTATAAAATATCGAAAATCTGAAATCCATCTTCAAACAAAATCAGTCATAAAATTCATATACGATTTTAGTAATAACATCAACATTCCATTTTCTAATGTTTACGTAGAATTCGACAATTTATTTAAAGTGAATATTCACAGCCGTATAAGATAATAGATGCTTTCTTAATAAAGCATACCTAGACTCTTTCCTGGATAATATTCATAAAACAAACATTAGTTAATAATGATTTCCCCATCTACGTTATTAGTAACCAAATAAAACTGGTCCTACAAAAATTAAACACCAACAACACCGAAAAACACAATATTTTTTGTTACTGCGACCTACTACATTTATAAAATGCTTCCGTGGCATGCGTCTCAAATAGCCTCCGACAACTAAGTCTAGCTCCAAGCTGGAGAACGGGCGTGTGCGGAGAACTGGTGCCTCGTAACCAGTTGCTTCGGGTAGATGTAGCTCGATATCCCAAGTAGGCAGTCCATCTAGGGGAAGCAAAACTCTTTAAAGCTCCGCTGCCTAGTGGTTATACCCAAACACGGAAAAGGTTACGAAAGTAAATCGGCTACTCCTGCAGTTAAGCCGTCCCCAAATGTAATGGCCTGTATTGGATAAGAATCATAAGGATCTTATTGGTATGCCCGAGAGGGTGGGTGTCATGTAGTCTGGGCAGTACAAGGTCTCCATATACCATCGCTCAGGCCTGCTCTTTGGAGAGGTCACTCCAGTTTCATCACCAATTACGCTACCAGGAGATAAACGGATTCCTACAACTACAGCAACTATAAAATAAAGTCCATTGCATCTTAGTTACATATATTTGTTTGTTTTTCTTGATGTTCTGATCTCGAAAAATAATCTTTTGTAGCATTTTTGAAAGGGGAAAACCCATTTCTACGCCATTCTGTTCGTAATGAAGTCATCTCCGTACACAGCACAAATGCCCCAGGCATCTTTGGCAGTTTAACTTGATTAAAAGCACAGAGAAGACGTCAAGCATGCTCATTCTTGCCTACTTGGCATTCCATCTGAAAGGAGTATCTAATTTGAAATACAATTTCAATAACGATAGGTAACAGAGTATGACCGGAGTTACTAAGAAGCAAGAAATTCTACGAAAATTTCTTCTTCGAGATCATTCGCAGAAAATCCGAAAAGACGAACGAATATGTGTAACAACCTCATATAAAGAACCTTTTCTAGACAACGAAAGAAACTTTTCTGGAGTTTTATTTATCGCTAGTCCGTCCCATTTCAGTCTATACCCCCTGTGTGAGGCCGGGTTACACTCAGTGTGATATAGAACATTTAGAAAAAGTATGAAAACGATTTACCAAAATGATTCCGGAAATTAAAAATATACTTTACCCTGATAAACTTACAAGTTGGGTTTTTCTCACTTTAACCTTACGGCTAGATCACGTTGAAACATTGGTTTCCATACGATCACCGAAGTTAAGCAACGGAGAGCTTGGTCAGTATTTAGATGGGTGACCGCTTGGGAATACCAGGTGCTGTAAGCTTGGATGACTCGGAATTGTTAATCATAGAGCGGAGTTTCAATTCCAGTTGTGTTCACTTACGCGCAAATTCGCTTGGGAAAAGTATGAATTCATCTCTTCTTCCCCCTACAGCTATGGGTTAATTAAGACTTGTATCACTAAAGTATTATCTCCTTCCACCCTCAAAAAAAAAAAAAAAAAAAAAAAAAAAAAAAAATACGAGAATCTAAAAAAAATGGCGGGAGAGGCTTTAAATAACCCGCAAAGGGCTGATAAGCCATAGAAAACAAATCCGTCATTCTGTTGGTTAAGTTACTTGATATATCTGTGTATTGTTTAAGATTTGTATCAATACATCATTATTTCCAACAAAAAAAGATTTTCTGGCTTTAAATAACCTGCAAAGGGTTGATAAGCCATAGAATATGAATCAGTCAATCACTTGAGACTGACAGTCTTAGACTTGATATATTACAGGTAAAATGAATAAGAAATTCAATTGATGAAAGGTTTTGAGAAATATTTAGCTAAAAACCAGTATACACCCACCAGAGGACATTCATTAAAAAATCACCAGCTGCTCTATAGTCTGAGAATACAATTTTTTTTTTTTTTTTTTTTTCCACTGGGGAATGAATGAATGGAACTCTCTGCCTCTGAAGTCAGTGTGAAGACTTTAGACGTCTTAGATGAACATACCTTCTGATTATATTGGTAGATGGTAACTATTTGTGTACAAAGTGACTCTTTCACTGTCCTAAATGCTTTTGTAATTCAATGTTTTAATTATGCCTGCTTTCTTCATGCTGCTGATGCTCTTTCTCGTATCTTTTATCTTATTGGTTTTTCTATTTTTGGACAAATGGCTGCAATTAATAAATTAACCAAATGCATAAAAATTACAAATGATGAATTCGCCATGCAGCATATTGTAAAACAGTGTATTTCTCTCATGGATACCACTAAATGCATAAAACTCACTATATACTACAGAAAATAAAAAAAAACTCCCAACCTTATAATCACTTATAACTTTAGAGTAGTTGATGACAGACTAGCCACAAATGTACACTAATGACTAATGTAACCTAGTCTAATGATAGCAATCACTGCGCAATCTACCATAAGCTTTCTTTAAACTTAACTGTAAAATGAAGGATTTGCGGACATCTGTTTATATGGATTTTGTTCTTGTTTTTGTGTAAGGAACCTGCCCCTAGGTTTGTAAAATAAATTTTGATAACCCTTTAATGTATATATATTATATATACTATATAACAGTTCAAAAGTTTGAGGTCACTTCTGGTAATTTTTTTTATATTTGCCCCCAAAGTAGTAATTTTGTACTCTAAATAAGTGAAAATTCTTATACATAGTAAAAAAAAAAAAAAAAAAAAAGTCGAGACATGATTTTTTGTTAAAAATGTAATGACAAAAAAATCATTTTATGATTAGATTTTGCTCACGTCAAAATATTCTCTTTTAGCCTTAATTACTGCAGCACAAATTTTTGGCATTCATTGCAAAAGTTTCTGAAAGTATATGTTTGATAATAGATTGTTTTTTTTTTTTCGCTCTTCTGTCAAGTTCATCATATGCTAATTCTGGGGCGGGGGGGGGTGCTTCAAACTTTTGAACTGTAGTCTCTCTCTGTCATTATATATATGTTTTGCTTTTTCGTCAGTAGCTTAATGATAAGGTACATCGTTTAACATTTTTTCTTCTTTCTGGCAATGGTAATTCACTGAACAGGCAAATGCAAAAACGATGTCTGGTTATCGTAAACAAAAGAGAATACGGGACAATTGTACTTAGTGGTTGTCAAAGTACTGAGAACGCTCCTAAAGAGACAGACAAAGAGGTTTCAAGACCTCAAAAACCGAAGAATAAAATCCAATACCTGGAATAAAAAAGTGTGTAAGGGGAGGGGGAGACTTCTTGCCGCTTGATCTCCAACGGTTACAACTAACGTGAAGTACAAATAATAATGATTCTAACGATGACTATGATAGTGATGCTGATAATGATGATTATGATAACGAGGACATTGTGAGGAAAAGTCATTAGAAGAGAATATGGAGATTACTGAAAAAGAAACTAAATAAATTAATAACCTTATCTTCGAGACGAGACTTTTTTCTGATTTATCACGTTCGTTCCTGTTTGCGTAAATTACGTTTTAATTGATGCCCAATGGCCAAAAAGTAATGTCTGTTCTTCTTTAATTGCAACAAATTTAATAACAGAAGCAGACAAAGCAAACTAAACTGAACACAAAAGTCTCAGGATACCAAATAGATGACTGAACATAGTTTCCTTTCTTCTCAATCGTATTAGGAGAGTTAGTAAAAAATATAAGAAAATTAAATGCAAATTCTACCTTATATCTTCCTAGCAGGCTTCTCCCGCTCGCTATCGCTTCGCAAAGTAAGATATATTCACTACTTGAAATCTTTGAAACAAAAATTTTAAATGAACATTTCATTCATACATTGCCTTGGTATAGTTAAGGAAAGTTTTACAAATAGATGCCAAATTATTGAAGGCCAAGTAAAATGCAAATATCAAACACTTTTCTGCACTATATAAGACGATATTCCTAAACAGAACTATTTTTGATATGAAAATAAAAAAAAAACCCTCGAATAAAAGAACAGTAATGAAGGACAGTTAATGAAATAAATTTTTTAAAATCAATATGCAAATTAATTAATCCTGAAGAATGATATTCCCTAGAAGTCGATCATAAAATATGGATATTGTGCTTTCAGTATTAGAGCTGGGTTTTTTTTAATCTCAGAATTCGTGGGAGAATTGATCTCCAATTTCGCATTTATTCATATAGATTCCATAATAAAGGTTTTACTTAATTAGCTATAATGTTTCTCTAACACTTCAAATGTTAAATGTATAACTAATTCTAATTTCTGTTTTCCCATCTTTACACTATATTAATTTTATCTTATAAATTGTCCCCTATTCTGTCATCCATGAAATAAAAATAATTGTTTATTCGTAAAATAAGGACCTACGTACATCAAATCGTCTTTAAATTAAGTGGCAGCAGAAGAATTATCGTTAAACTTTTAAAAGGCAAGCTTAAACATTAATTCAATACTTAAATGCAGCGATCAATTTTGAGTTCTTCTGTAGTTTATTGATGCCTATAGTATCTACTCCTCCCTAGCTATTGTGATGATGGCCAAAACAAGAGTCCTCCATAGGAGTTAGCTTAAAAGTTTAAGAGTTACTCTCTTTGAACCATGAAAGCAACGATAATGGCTAGTATAATATGTTAATATATATTTTTAACCTCGCATAATCTTGCAACCTTGAATCTGAACCCAACGAAAATCGTTACCTGCGCCTAACTTTTTCTAGAACTTTTGAAGGAGCTCTGAATCATTGAAATCGGACCAGTGGGAGCGGAGGAGTCGATTGGGCACACACACACACACACACACAGTCTACATTATATATAAGAAGATGGACAACGTATAGTGTCAACGCTTCACACCATGGGAATCACTTCCTCTATCCATGACTCGGGCTAAACGCCAGTTGGTTATACGAACAATGCAGAGAATAACATTGTTTTTAAAATCATTTCACTCTAAGCAATGCAATAAACCAATAAGACACAAAGGGTTACTGAGTGTAAAAAAATAAGAAAAATATTACTAAAGATCAGGAATAATAAAAGAGGAATCAAGAAAGTGGATAACGATTGACAATTCATTAATTAAGTGTGAGAAAAGAAACTGTTCGCATTACGATTGTCTCAAGCCCATTCAATTGTAAAAGGATAAGATCTTGTTGAAAATCACATACGGCTCTTAAATACATAAAGTCTAAGTATCATCGAGAAAAGTTCAGAACAATTACCATGAAAGTATTTATAGAAAATGCACAGGGAAGCTACATTACGGCGGTGGAAAAGGGAATGAAGCCGAGATGCCTGGTTAGGACCAATAACATTGCAAATTCTTTGGATATTACCAATAATATCTGAATATACAGCAGAAGCAGCGGGCCAGATGTGGTAGCAGTATTCAAAGCAAGGACAAATGGTAGACTTATAAATATCTAAGACTAGCAGTAGAGCCCGGCGTTGCCCGGGGACGTAACAGTAAGAGATAGATCAAGTATCGACCATCATAAAGACTGAAAAATAAAATTGACAAAGCTTATTGTTTATGGTTGACGGATACGCATGTCTTAATTATTTTTTTTTTTTTTACGAATTGGTCAAACCCAAACAAAAACATTGTTTTCAATCGTTATGAGTCTACCGATTGAATAGAATTTTATTATAAACAATTGTCTTGTAAATGGAATTTTTAAAGCATTTTGAATGTAAAAATAAAGAAAAAAGTTTGCGAGACAATAAGAAACACTACCTGCGAAAAAAAAAACTGAAGTTTTGTTGAAATCGTTTGAAAAATGTAGGAAAAACCAACACACACACAACCTGGGTTTTATAATAAGTAAAACTCGATATGAGTTGTCCCCCTTTCATTCTCGCGACAGCGATCCCCCTTAATTGTGTTTTCAAATTGATTTCGTGCAAAAACAATTGTGTTTCTCCAATTTTTGACGCTGTCAGAATACCGCAAGGTAATTTTACGTAGTCCTGTAAAGTTTTGTTGAAATCGGTTGAAAAACGTAAGAAATCCGATCCAATATATAAACGAACAACCTGGGTTTTATAATAAGTATGATGAATTCTGGCGAGAAAAATTGTCTAGCATGACACAGTGAACCAACTTTTTTTTAACAGCAGACCTACTATTCGATATATTTTTTTTAAATTCATGTCAGCGGAAAACGTTCATCTGTGAGGAGATTGTTCAGCACCCAAAACCATACTGGAAGATTGACATACCATAGCAGTTCAGTAATTTTTATTTCTAACGAAATTTTCATGTTTCTGAAGAATTTGTTTAGCATTTGGAAGACATCTTTCGCTATTACAATGCCAATTTGGATTTAGGTGTCACATCTTTCACCGTCTCTTTAAACGTTCTCCGTATATTTGAATTGGTGTACTTATTAACTATAATGTCTGTCCAATTTTTCTATCACCCCCCCAGTCATTGTTCTGACAGCCATTTACACATCTTTTTACTAATGAAAATGTATCATAGGTTTTTACACCTTCATCCGAACATTATGAACTAAATACTTACCTCCACAACCTTTAGTCCAATAAAAGAGTGTGTTCCGGACGGTGAAGCAAAACCAAGTTCTTTAACGTCAGGAAAATCCTGAGGATTGTGAAGCAATACTCTGATACCAGCGCCTCCTTCCGTTTCCAGCATGTATTCATACTCTTCAACATTCAGTGTCAATTGAAGACCATTGTCGGCACCTAGCGTAAAAAAAATGAAATAGTCAAGGGAGGTAATATCCACAAAATATGAGAATAAGTAAGACAAGGATGTGTCATCTCGTCGGATTTATTCAACCTCTACAGTGAAGCAAGAGTGAATTGTAAGACCTACCAGGATATGTCGTCAGCAAAAAAAGAAAAGCCAGCCCAACATGCAAATTATAAATTAGAGATAACAAATCAAACACGTATAAAAATTTAAAAAATCTAGGAAGTGTCTTAACAGATGACGGAAAATGTGACACCGGAATCCAAAGACGCATTTTAATAGATAAAGTGGCCTTCCAAAAGCTAAGCAAAGTATAAAGAAACAGGAAATTTTCACTGGAAATTGAGAAAGGAATATTGAACTGTTGTGTAATGTACATCCTCCTATATAATAGTGAATGCTGGACATTCCCGTCACAGATGGAGAAGAGACTCGAGGAAACAGAAATTTGGTTCTACAGCAGGATGGTGAGAATACTATGTACTGACCATGTAAGCAACGACGAAACTTTAAAAGAAAATCGAAACAAAACGTAGCATCAGAAAGAGACAGTTGAAATTTCTAAGGCACATAATGAGGAAAGAAGTCTTGGAAAACTTGATACTCACCAGCAAGAGGGAGAGAGGAAAATGGTGCATAGACTACCTAACGAGCTTGTGTACATGGTTGGTAGAACAGGGATTAGGTAGATAGCAAAACACAAACTTTAATAATGGCTACAAAGGACAGGAAATTGTGGAGAGCCATCATCGCCTACGTCCAGACGAGACACGGTATATAGAAGAAATTTATGATTGAATAAGCTTCTTTACATTATTTGGACTCTTGTCTTCATTTTTGTTGCCATATTTATCCCAACATTTTGGACGTTGTACGATGGTTGGAACGTCGAACTGAACCTTTTATTTCGCTCGCTGGGGTAGACTGTTCTAGTTCCACGTGCCATGTCTAATGGATGTCAGTTATCAGTTATCTCCTGCTAATTCATCTCTCCAAGTTCTCCACTGCCTTAACCAGGTATTGAACTCACAACTCTTTGGGTCCTGTCACTGGATTTAACCAAAGCCTTTATCCACTGTGCCATGTTTCATTAACGAAACGTTGTGATAAATATGGCAACAAAGATGAGGACAATAGTCCGAATAATGTAAATAGTGTACATAATATCTCATCTCAGAAATATAGACAGATAATAAGCTTCTTATTGTTAAAGTTGTCAAGCTTAAATATTTTGACACAATCACAATCATAATATGATATCTGTCGAGGCATTTGCGAACTACCGTACCGTAGTAGAAAATGAATAGTGGATATCATACTATAGTAGAAAATGGACGGTAGATATCATACTATAGTAGCATCTATGAATTTTCACGTGCCATGTCCCTTCAGGATGTAGGCGATAATGGCTCTTCACAACTTCCTGTCCATTTTTAGCTCTTAATAAATGTTGCCTTGATTAAATATGAATGCAGGTCATTATTTAAAGAAAGAAGCGGGTACAAATGAAAATCTTCCACGTCTGCTTCCGTGAAATGAACACATGAGAATATTATCAATTATCCCTCACCTATCTCTTTCCCCTAAACTTAAAATTTACATTTGCTACATCTTTTCTTTTTTTCTGGGTAAGGATAAGCAAGCTGTTTTAGGTTCATTTTCGCAATCAAACAGGAATGAGCCATTGTTTATCTGAGGCAATTGCAACGTATGTACTGACTAACTGGGTAATAAGGTGTAGGGAGGATTTTTACGTTAACTGTGAATCAGCCAATAAGTTTAAGTTAGAGAATTTCAACATAGTTCAGTTATTTGTTATTTTTCGCCATTTTTAACTGTTACTAAAGGAAAAAAAACCAAGGAAATGCGGAACTAAAATTACTAATTCTCGAGAAAGTTTTCTTTTAACTCGAAATAAACAATTTAAGGGAGATCTGTCTATTGTAACTATTTACACTATTTTCAAGAACACATGGCCCAGTGGATAAAAGCGTTGGTTGAAATAATCTGGTGACTCGACCCAAACAGTTATGAGTTCAATATCTAGCTACAGGAAAGATGAAATAATAATAAAAAAAAATGTTGAGTTACTGAAGAGAAATAAACGAATCAGAAAAGTCATACCACGTGGAACTAGAACAGTTGACTAGTTGACTATGTGATGGGTTCGATCCGAAATTTCAACGCATATGACCTGAAGAAGGCCGAGGCGTACGACCGCCGAAACGTCGTGAATATGACAATACAAATGACGACAACAGTCCGAACAATGTAAATAATGTTTTGGCGAGCATCCACTAAAATGTAACGAAGGGTCAAATTTAGGTGTTTAAATTGAAGTTACTAAGTCATGAACATCGCAGCCATTTGTCGCAACTAACTTAATCTACTCAGAGACAAACTATATCGAGGTGACTAAAATGTGCGCTGTGATATAATGGATATCCGCTCGGAATAAGAAATCGGAGAGCCGAGTTCGAATTCCAACAGAGTTCGTTATATTCACTTACAAACAAATACTATTGGTAAATGTATGAATCCATCTCTTTATTCCCTAACTATGAGTTGAATAAAAGGACAGACTAGATTCTTCAGCTTTAGTTGGCAACCAATCTACAACAGGAAAAAATTTACTACTGCGGGGAAAAATCTTCTGCCTAGTCAGTCATGTATCGAAAGACACATGATCGCCCAAGTGGGTATGGCCCTTAACTGATCGAAAAGGATTAAAATATTGAATTATTTTCAGTTGTCGGAATGTTTTACTTTAATACCATGTGCCTTGGGAACGTAGGTGACAATAGCTCTTCAGGTATTCCTTTTTTATTATCTGAATGACCATGGTATTTAAATATCAATTCATCCCAATCAAGACGATAACGCCACCGAGGGGCTACTGGGAGTGAAAGTGAATGAAAAGACTTTAGAAGTCGGAAACCCAATCCTAGATAAAAAGCAAAGGATAAATATCTACCACCGTTCAAAAGACCGGGGAGGAGTAAGAACCGGGCGATAGACGAACATATCTACTGCTATTGAGGAAATAAATCCAGAGTTTCAGCGGAGACGCTAGAAGTATAGTTATTTATTAATCATAGTTTAGATGTGGCACCTGCTATTTAACCCATAACTAGGAGGGGAGAAGAGATGGATTTTTATTTTTATTAACGAGAAAGAGAACAGAGTCACCTCGGCCAGAATTCGAACTCGATGAATTCTTTTTTCGATACGTTAACCATTACTCTAATCATAAATTAATTAGTTTATTGATTGAGCAATGAATTAAACAATCAGGATCGAGCTTTCATTCGATTAAAAAAAAAATAACTTACCCGAGGCTATTACATTTAACTGGTTTGTCGCGTTGAAATTGAAGGTGAAGCACAAACCCAGACTGGTCCAAACAGCAGTGAAATTCTCAGGCCCACAAATCTGATGTCCCCATTTGCACCTGAAGAGATATGTAACGAGGGTTAATAGTATCGAGTCACACAGATGTCAGGCGAGAAGATCAGATGATTGAATGAATTACAGGAAGAGGGTTTACAGAAGATAAGGGAAACGACCCAAATGTCATAGCGATTATCTCAAGTCAAGAAATTATTATACACGATGTAAATTTTCTTGGGTTAGTTGACAGTAGCGGAAGGTCAAGATAGTGGAGTACTCGGTAAATAATGAAGTCGCTACGCTAGCGAATGGTCCAGCAAAATTAGCATGTTTATCATCACCGTGTCATTCGCTCAATTATTATTTACTAAGGTTAGCATTGTTTGGCACAAGGCCACAATAGAGATGCACTCAGTATAGAACAAAGACTATAAAGTAATGAAATGTTTCGTCAGACATCTCTTGGCAGACGTTCAATTTTTAGTAAGATGTCTAGTAAATATCAAGGTAACGACATAAATGGTACAAGATCACGAAAATCGAGCACATTCCCTTTTCCCAGTTGTTGTGCTCCCCGACGTGAACGCGAGTTGAAAGTGATGTCGGGTTATTTGTCCGACGGTGAAAGGATAAGAAAGGGGAACCGGGGTAGGTTTAAAAGTGAGTGGGCTCAGAGTAATTTCCCCTCAAAAATGTGAACTTGTGTTCGACATACGAGACAAAAAACGTTCAAAGAAAGTACAATGCAACCTCGGTTCTCGAGCAAATCGGTTTTCGAACAGAAAATTCGAGATGAAAATGCATCGGTTATCAAACAAAATTTCGGTTCTCGAACAACATTGCCGAAACGAACCGAGTTCACCCGAACGGAATCATTTCTTAGTCGACCGCCGTGTCGTATACATTCGTGTGTAGTGCTTTGCATTTCTTTCCCAATTTTATTGTACTGTGCCCTTTTCTTCTCTTCATTAGTCCTCAGTCATGGCTCCAAAGAAAGCTAGCAGTGATACTGGCAAAGCAAAAAAAATAAGAGAAAAATATTTGTTGATGATAATGTCTATGATGATGATATTCCTCTTCAGTTTCATATGGCAAAAATCAACGATCTATACTATTCTTATAAATAAAGAGACGATCATGTCTTTCCTTCTCTTTTTCAAACAATAACATCTTTCCTTCCTCTTCCACAATCAACTCCCTACATGCAAGTACGGTAAACTTAAAGTGTTCGTCTATATTTTATCTGTTTAGTATTTTTTTCTTAAATTTAATGATTTTCATTAGTTTTATGTATTATGCGAGTTTCATTAGTTTTATGTATTATGCGAGTTTCATTAGTTTTATGTATTATGCGAGTTTCATTAGTTTTGTGTATTACGTAAGTTTCATTAGTTTTGTGTATAAACCTGTGTACAAAGTACAGTTGTTCAAGTTTAAATAAACAATCATCTTGGGACCAGGAACGGATTAATCCATTTTACATTGATTCCTATTAGAAAAATAGTTTCTGTTTACAAACATTTCGGGTTAAGAACGGGATTCAGGAACGAATTAAATTCGTGAACCGAGGTTCCACTGTAATCTTAGTTTTTTTTGCAATTAACAAACATCTACTCACGTTATAATCATATCTTCTTTCGAATGGGCAACGGGCCCAAAGATTTCATCTAATGTCATATTGGCAGCCCCGTATTTCTGGACGGCATCCAATTTTTCTTGCTTCGAAAGCTGGTCATTGTAGAGGTCTTCCATCAGGCGATACCACTTTAAATTGTAAGCTGCGGTCGCTCTGAAACAAGAAATAATTTTAGTGCGAATTTGAACGATATAAATTATTGAACGTTATAAATTAGTTTGAAACGGTAACACTTAATACTGTCAAATAAAAAACGCCTTTAATTTTTTTTTTTTTTGGCTTATCAAATTGCAAAAATTCGCGCTCAGTTTTCATTGTTAATATAAAATGACCGCAACTTGACGCTGGGATTTGTTTGGTGACGATTTCTGGTGTTTTAAATTGAAAACCTTACATAGCGGCTCAGAGAGCCGAGTTCGAATTCCAGTCGAATCCATTACATTCACTTACGTGTTAATACCTTTGGGAAAGGTGTGAATCCTCTTCTCCCTCCAGCTATGGGTAAATAGCAGGACAGACCAAGTTCTGGTCTACTACAGAAAGAAATGGCAACCTACTGCGGGGGAAAAAATCTGCCTCGTCAGTCATGTATCACTCATGGAACGTAACTGACTGTCATAGTTCGGTTGTGAGTTAGACTTTGTTGAATGTTGACGATTTATTCACAAGATGGAGGATGAATAGTTGCCATATTGTGCTCTCTGAATTTAGGAAAGGAGTAACTACAACAAGCCCTCACCCCCGCCAAAAAATAAAAAAAAATCAAAACAAACGACGACGACGACTTACTTGGATAGTGCTCAATCTCTTTGAACGCTCGAAAAAGTGGTTTTCGCAGATTTCATCAGGGTGATTTAAGCCTAAACGATCAACCACGCTCCGGGCAAGCTCTACTTGCCAACGTAGAGAATAAACCGAAAATTTCGGCGGAAGAGATTGCTAAGAGTTTGAAAATGTAGGTCTTAACTACCTTTCGCTATTTGGAAAGGGACTTATGTTCAAGAAGAACCGCCCATTTTGCCAAATCGAAAGGCGACATTTTTCACCAGGACAATGCAAGACCGCATGTTGCAAAATAGACCTTGCAGAACAATAAAGAGATGAAATTGGAAATCCTCCAGCACTCACCGTATTCTTTTAACTTAGATCCTTCGAAATTTTATTCGGTCTCTACAGAACAATTTAAATGACAAAAAAAATTGATTCTGTACAAGTCAGTCGACAATTACCTCACAACCTTCTTCCAACAACACGTACTTTCTACGAAAATGGCATCAACAAGCTTGTAGGACGATGGGAGACAGTTGTTTAAAACAATGTATGTAGGTATGTCTGTATAGCTGGCCACTCGTATTCGAGGATACCCGTCTACTAGGGCGGGTAGACAATCCCTATTGCAGACGCTTGCTCAGGCGCATTTTTGTTTATTCAACACCTATAGAGCCCATACTGCAGCTATACTGAGAAGATCTTAGTTACAGTTGCTGAGAAAGAGCGTGTTATCTAGCGTGATCAACATTTGAACAAGGACAGTACGCTCAAGCTCTCGGCCACGATGACTTGTGACTTTGTGCTAGCACAGCTATCGACGGCAACCGAGGGTTCTGTCTACCCAATTTCATTCACAAGGCTTGGGTCAGGCACTTTCCAAAAGGTGCCGAACGCTGGGATCGACCCCTCTAGTCCGATAACATCAGGAAGTCTCCTTCCTGACAAATCGACCGTGGTGAGGATCGAACCCGGGTCTCATGGTCAGAATGTGAAAGTTCTCACAACTCTGCCACGTGCCCATAAAACAACGCACTTGACTAATAAATACGTTTTTTTTTCTGAATTCTGTTTTTAATTTTCTAATTGACTTAATATTACTGTTTACTCAGCACAAGGCCTAAGAGCCATTCAAGGTAGAGGGTTACTGACGTTTTACGGATGTACGAGGAGGAGGAGGCGCAGATTATGAAGGTATGTATGATAGATAACGGTTGACCTTAGATTTGTAGAGTTTAAGATTATAGTGATCGGGGAAGCATCCTCTCGGGGGTCTATTTTTGGTAAGTTGAGTGGAATTTCCTTATCAATAGAATAAGAAAGGAATGTATATGATTTGTCCCATTGTACTTAGCAGGGTGAATCATAGATATGAAGGTCTGAACTACTGGGACCATGGAATGTAACTGGTTAGAACGTTTGTCATGGAAATAGCGATAGAATAGAGAAGCTTGCGAAAAGTCAATTCACTTGTGTAAGAATCTATAGCTGTATGGTTAGAGTACCGGTTATTCGCGTGGAAAATGAAATTTGGAGTGCCGAGTTCAAATCATGGTCATCTATATTTCATCCACTTTCCGCTTATGCTCTTGAAAAGGGCATGAGCACATTATTTTTTTTTAAATCGATATTAACCCATGCAAGGAAGTAAAGCCACTAAGACACAAGGGGTTAAAGAGTGTGGAAGACTTAGGGACAGAAACATTAATAATGAGCGGAACGAGAAAAGACTAATGACGAGGATAGTAGATAACAATTGAGATTGCATTTCAATTTTGCAGTTTAAGTTGAGTGGAAAGCACGGAGCCGGAAGGGAGTCCCACAAGCCAGAAGTGCGAGAAGAAAAAACTGTCAGCGTAGAATCTACGGCTACATCTAACCAGCTCAACTGTTAATTGATGAGATCTCGACGACAGTCTAGTATTGCACTTAAATTCAAAAAGTCTAGGTACCATAGCGAAGAGATCATCCGAACAATTACCATGAAAGTATTTATAGAAAAGACAGAGAGGCGGTGGGAAAGTGACTGAAGCCGAGACGACAGGTCAGGACCAATAATATTGCCGATTTTTCTATGGATTTTATCAAGGAGCTCAAACTAAATAGCAGGGGCACCGGACCATATATGATAGCAATATTTTAAATATGGACGAACGGTAGACTTCTAAATATGCAAGATCGATTCTGGAGAGAAAAAAAAATTATCTCGCACGAGACCAATTTTTCTTAATAGCTGACTTAGCAATACTGCAGATACAAATTAATTAACAAGTCAGACTGAAAAAAAATGGAATTAAGACTCTTGTCAATAATAGGGTGGACTGTGACCTTTAGGATTGTTAGGGAATTTACTCTCAAAAGATTTTAAAATAAAACCAGCCTGAAGAAGGATGGGCTCCGTCAGGCTATTTTGCTCTAAACGTTCGCACTGGGTTGGTGTGTTTGTGTGTGTGAGTCAGAATAACACAGTGGGTTTAAGACAATAGTTATGGGAAAGTGGCCTTTTCAAATGCTCTATCACACATTCACTTGATTCGCATCCTGTCAAGGTTGAGTATAGAAGTAACAGCTTCTTTTTTTTTTCTTTTTTACTTCGAGTGACTGAACGTGATAATATATTTATAGGAGATTGGTTTTTCCAGTTGTTATATCTTGGCTGAAACCTGTCAAGGCAGTGGAGAACTTGGACAGGGGAATTAACAGGAGATAACTGATAACACATCCATAACACGTGGAACTAGAACAGCCTACTCCAGTGAGCGAAATAAAGGGTTCAGTTCGACATTCCAACCACCTGAAGAAGGCCGGAGCGTACAACAGCCGAAACCTTCGAATTGAAACAAGTTCCATTCGGACAACTTCTTCCCAAGAACTGTTATTTTAGGGAACAGGCTTCAGAAAGGATATGCTCCCTCTATCACTGTAATCTTAATCTCTTTAAGCTTAGGGTTAACTGTTGCCTTTCTTATATATCCACAAACTGCATTTACTACTTCCCCCTCTTACGTTTAGCCAGGAAATTTGGGCTTCGTATTGGTTGAGTAATTGGTACAAAAAGCCCTTCATCAGGATTTCCTAACCTGAACGATATTGCCCAGCTGTGTGAAATTTCAACTGTTGTGTGGGTAATGAATAACTAAACAAAAAATGGTGGGCAATCGGAAATTTTCGTGTGCGATATAGGATTTGAAGTATTTAAAAGGTATTTCAACATATGCTACCCGAAAAAAATGTTCAATGGAAATATGCAAAGAACCTCCATATCCCGCAAAAAAAAAAAAACAAAAAAAAAAAAAAACCCAGAAAGACAACAAAAACAAAAAACAAACAAACAGAAAGACAAAAAAAAAACAAACAAACAGAGACAAAAACAAAAAAAACAAACAAAGACAAAAAAAACCCCCAAAAAACCCAAAATAAACAGAAAAACAAAACAAAAGAAAAAGAAAAACAAAACAAAAAATATAACAGGAGGCTAAATGAGAATAACTGGATCACATTCAAGATATAATATCCCCGTAAACAAGGAATATTTTGGTAGTTTTTTTTTTATACATTTGAGGAGAGTTATTTACATTTAAATACTTCTTCAGGCGAAATAACATTTTTTCGGGTGTACATTAAATAAAGGAAAACGGAGTAAAGCAAAAAATATTATTGAATTTTTATTAGTTGCTAGTAGTATATATTCTTTTTAATTTTATAATTATGAACAAGGATCAGTTTTAATTTTTTGTCAACACTAAACCTAACCATAAAATTCTCCCCAGGTAAAATGAGAAGGAATAGAGTACAATTCCAACGTTCGTAACATTTAATTTTAAAGAGGGCTCAATACAAAGAAGAGCAATATTCTTTATTTTAGGATATTACATCGAAAAACATGTCAAAATCGCTACATTTTGCAGTCGTGTTAATTTACAATTACCTGATGAGATGCGAATCGAAACACTACTGCAATTGTTTAGCGATTTTGATATGTTTTTGATGTAATATACTAAAATAAAGCATATATATATATATTTCAAATGTTTAAGTTTGCTTTCGTTTGTTGTTTAATACAGTAGCAGCAACAGCAGACGTTATTTGTTACTTCCCTTTAGTATTTTTTAATACATCAAAATTTATGGTGATTTTCTAAGCGTAGCTTAGATGTGGCACAAGGCCAAGTACGGAATGAGGATCAAACTCACTATTCAGTTGTAATTAATTTAGCAAGACAAGTTTGCTAACCATTATACCACGTCGAGGTGACTCAAAGTCAGTTTATGAACCAGTAACAAACTTTTACCAAACAATTTTGGTGTGCGTTTGAATATTTACTAAGAAATATTTTTTTTTCATGTAAAAGTGGGTGATGACGAAAAGAGGTTGGGAACCTATTTGAATTTTTTAAAGTTGGTTTTGGTGGTGACAAACGTCGCACCACTGCTAGAATAAATACAATAACGAAAAAAAAAATATATGGAAATAAATAAATAAATAAATGAATAAAGTAAAAGCAAACAAAAACAACCAAACAAACCAAAACCCTGAGATGGTTGGGGGCTATATGGCCCAGTTGATTGTTAATCGATAACTTTGCCGTTTATCGTTCAGTAGGAAACCATCATTAATCGATATTATTAGAATTCGAATGAATCGCAAAAGATGCGCAGCGCATGCGTAAACGTGCGTTGTGCGATGTGGTAACATTTCTCTTTGGAAAGAAATGTTTTATGTCAGGCAATCAAAGAGAATGTATCTCATTGGCTGACGGAAATTCGGAACTTTTGATGTTTTGAATTTTTGTGTAGTGAACTTAACAAGAAATACTAGTGAATAGACCAAACCTGGGAAGATACGAGCGATGGCACCACGTGACGTGGTTAGATCGAGTAAATTGCTGCTAGGGGAGTCTATTACAAAAGTACGAGAAATGAAAAAGAAGCAAACGGAAGCTGATGCGTATAGAAAGCCAGGTTTACATCTAATAGAATGAGCTGATACACGTTCACCTTGATAAATGTTTTTTTTATGTAGGGCGCTCAAGGTTAGAGTCAGTTCATTTTTTTTTTTTAATCAGAAACTAATCCATTTTTGTTTTTTATTTTTTAATTTATATTAACCATCATAACATATTAGCAAGGATGGGCGTTGTGGTGTAATGGATATTGACTCGGAATGAGAAATCAGAGCCGAGTTCGAATTCAAGTTGAGTTCGTTATATTCATTTACGTGCAATACCCTTGGGGAATGTAAAAATCCATCTTTTCTCCCCCCCTATTAAATAGCAGAACAGACTTGGTTTGCAACCAGTCTACGGCAGGGTGGAGGGATTGGCAACCTGCTGTTGGAAAATCTTTTGCCGAGTCATTCAGAGGGAGAGAGAAGAAAGAGAGGAGAAAAAAAGGGGAGGGAGAGAGAGAGAGAAGGGGGGGGAGAGAGAGAGGGGAGAGAGAGAGAAGGGGGGAGAGAGAGAAGGGGAGGAGAGAGAAGGGGAGGGAGAGAGAAGGGGAAAAGGAGAGAGAAGGGGAGGGAAAGAGAGAGAGAGAGAGAGAAGGGGGAGGGAAGGTTTCCCAAGCGTGAAGCACGTAACTGACTGATGTATTATCAAGACTCATATTTTAACGAGTCGATCGCCATTATATGTATTTGAGTAGGAACCAAAATACCAATAAAAAAGAATAATGGTGGAAGTGGATTACATCTTTTAGTCGTGTAGTCACGTGACTAGGGGTCACCTGGCATGAGTATAAAAAACAGCGCAGTTACAAAAAAAAAAAACAAAAAAAAACTCTTTTCTAATATGTCTATTCCCTGACCAGGAGCTGCCCAACATGCACGTAATTTTGTCACATACGTCAAACACTTACAAGCACTCAAACAAACAAACACACACACACACGCAGACACACACTTTCCAAAAATAGTTATTTTTGTGGAAATACATCCCATAGACGCTCTTTTTTCTTGCGAATTTCCTATACCGAGCAGAGCCCGAATTGTCACCTGTTGTAATGAACGGTTTTTTTTCTCTCAGCGAGGCCCCATACTTTGAGCGCTTATTGGGACTAACAAGCACTGCAGACCTTAAGTGGAAAGCGTACACCGCTCCAGTAAGTACCTGACTCCTCCTACTATCCTTTACAAGAGCCAGATCAGGCTGTAAATGTAGTACTAATACCATATATGGACAGGAGCTGCTCAGTCTTCACTTTCGATAGAGTCCAAAAGCGTCTCCGCCTCCTTGTCAGATAATTAATAATTATTCCACCGCACAACCCCTTTCTCACTGATGAAACGTTGCAAGTATTTCACTTCTCTATCGCTATTTCCATGAAAAGTGTTCAGATAAACTACATTCCTTGGTTCCACCAGTTCTTTCACGTTTAAGAACGCACCATGCCACTCCCATTGAAGCGAACCACCCTCATTCCCTTCGTTATTGAGATGCAAGTTCCACTCGAGCAGCTGCTTCCCACTAACTGCTTCTCTGTAGAACAGACTCCCAAGTGGGTGCTTCCCCGATCACCATAATTTTAACCTGTTCAAGTATAGGGTTAACCGTTATCCCCCCCCCCGCTACCAAAACTGTGCCTCTTACTCTGTAACACTACCTCGAGTGGATCTTCGGTCTTCTATAGAATTAACATTGTTTTTGATGATATGAGCAAACTAAATTATAAATCTCATATATATTTACATGCAATAAAGATTAAAGAAATTTCTGAATGCTGTACAAAAATAGTGTAGAAAATGTATGTATCAATCTATTTTACATAGTGAAAGCTATCACATGATCCTGGCATAAGAAAGGAGAAAGCCATAAAGAGAAAAAGCCATAGAAATGAAAAAACAATTTACTTACCTTATTCTGTTCTGGTTACAGAATGTAATGGCTGGAAAAAGTAAGGTTGTATTGTAGTTAATTGCCAGGTTAACTGTCACTGGCCACTCCAAGTAGTAAATGATTCGGTCAACAATCTGGATCAAGGAGACCCCAATGCAGGACAATAAAAGTACAATCCACAAGAGTCTTGGAAAAGAAAAGAAAAATATTTTAAGGAATAATAAGAGAAAACGAGGCGCTAGTCACCGCGGCCCCAAAACAATGCTGTAATAAAAATATACGAGGCGTTACATTTGAATCCGGGGAATGATGCTAGCGTTTCGTTGGAGTAATAATTCAGAAAGCTAAGGAAATCGTGAAAATTGACAATCATACAAATTGTTATGGAAGCACTGGAAAGAGGCGAAGGGAACGAGAAATCAGAGGAGAAATTGGGACCAGCAAGACGACAGTGCTGATAAAATCTACTCGAATACTGAGAGTGTTTGGGGGCATTTGCTGTCACTTGAACGACTGGCGTGGAAACTGCGTGGAATAAAAAGTAAAATCCAAATAGTTTCGATAAAAAACTTAATTTATTTTGGTTTTAAGTGAAAGACTTCGTGAATGATTGTATCAGCAACAAATCAAATTAAATAAAATTAATATTCTCAATAGCTGCATCTACTGCAAGGAAAGTTGGTTCATTGTGTCGTCTCAGAAGGTTTTTCTTGTCAAAGTTAATCTTGAACATTTACAAATCTACCATTCATTCATGCATTGAATACTGTTGCCATCTCTGGTCTGATGCCCCTGCTGTTCATCTCGAGGTTCTTGACAGAATCCAAAGAAGGATCTGCAATGTAATAGATCCTGACTTGGCATCTCCACTTCAGTCATTTTCTCACAGACGTGTGTGGATTGCCTTTTCTGCAAATATGTACAAAGCAACTGCCCTGAAGAGATTTTTTCTCTGGTGCTCGATCTACGCTAGTTAAGCGTGCTACTAAATTGGCATCTAGATCCCACTCTTTTACTGTTGAAATAGTTAAATGCAACCGCCACTTCTACTCCTGCAGTTTCTTTTCTCGCGCTTCCTGACAGTGAAACTCCTTTCCTCTTACTTGCTTCCCTTATAACTACAATCTTCAAAAACTTAAATGCAACGTCAATCGTTATCTTCTTTTGACTTGATCCTTTTATCCTTTCCTCAACACCCGCTATACACAGTCTTTTCTCTCACTTTCAATCTCTGTAACTCCCTGTGTTCTAGTGGTACTCTTGCCTTGCTTGTGGTGAAATGATTAAAAAAAAAGATACACATATTTTCGAGTCATTAATAATTTCCGTTTTTCTGAACTTTATTTTTTAAGAATGAAGTGCAATTAAATGTTATCCGATTACATAGTCACTATTATTATTTTTAATTTAAATTTTTTTTTTTAATCATATCACCCCAAGCAAGGGGGAAATGCCACTGGTACGCAGGGGGTTACAGGGAGTTGAAAGTGAAAGAAACGACTGATTATAGGGAGGAGTTATAACGGGACAAATGATCAACGGAATTCAAAGAAACAGAAGATGGCGATTGACGTTACATTTAAATTTTAGATGATTATAGTTATCAGGGAAGCAAGTTAATAGAAGAGAATTCCACAGGCGAGAAATGCGAGAAAAGAAACAGTTGGAATAGAAGTGACGGTTGCATAAGGCTATTTCAACAGTAAACGGGTGGGAAATAGATAGTCTAGTAGCACGCTTAAATTCATGTAGTTGAGGCACCAGATAAGAAAAGCTCGTTAGACCAGTTTCTATAACAATATTTGTAGAAAAGACAAAGGGAAGCCACGCCGCGTCGAGATGCCAAATCAGGATTGATTACATTACAGATCCTTTTTGATTTTGTCAAGAACCTCGAAATGTATTGCAGGAGCACCATACCAGATATGGCAACAGTATTCAATGCACAGATGAATGGTAGATTTATAAATGTGCAAGATGGATTCTGACGGCACAGTACGTCAACTTTCCTTGCAGTAGATGAAGCTGTTGATTCAATGTACTCGCTCCAGCAATAGCAAAACAAGGCTCAGTTACTCTCCTTTTTTTTCATTCATGGCGAGTCTTAGCTGTGGAATTTAGAACTGGTGGCAATAACGAATGTTGTTTATCTGAGCACTTTCCATGGATGTAGCGCTAGAGCAGCGAAAGGCTCACGACATCTCGCCTGTGAGTGAGGGGTTGCAGAGTGGAAACTAACTTGTCCCACACAGGGACGCGGAGACACTTTCGGAAAATCGTGACTGGAAAGTGAGGACTGGACAGCTCCTGCCCAAATATGACAACAGAATTTTATTTTCGGCCTGGCCAGGCTCTTGTAAAGGTTAGAGGAGAGTACGCGCCGTCAGGTACTTACTGCAGTTGTACAGGAAACTAGGTCAGAATACTTTCCAACTTCAGCAGATATGTGTATCTAATTTAGCTGACAGATTTTATTAATTATATTTGCATTAAAGAAATACTGGATTGCATCTTTGGGTATAAACATTTTGCTAAAATAATGTGGTTGATACAGCAACCTACCTGTACCATGTTCCTGTGCCATCCTTGAATATATTCCGAATGCCGTGCATGGAACAATTCTGAGTAAAATCATCCGCCATGTTGTATTTGTCTTCATTTTCCGGTTCCTCCTGAATACAATTCCCTTCCTGGTTATTCAGGATCAACTCTCGTTGACGCAAATTGTTTCCCATTAGAAATTCGCTGGAAAATAAATAATCTGAATGAATAAAAACTGTTAAAAAAATTGAGAGAATTATGACTTCAGATATATATATAAGTGGAAAGTTTTCTTGTGATGCGTTTCCTTCATTAGGACTATATCTGACTAAATTAGTCCGATGAATCCCTAAAGGACGAAACCTCACAAGAACTTTTTCCACTTTGTCATACATTTTTCCCAAATATTGTTCTTGATTATATATTTTAATTAGCCTGTTAAAGTATTTTTTCTGATGAAGGCCTTCCCCAAATCTTTCCCTTTGCTGTTCATGCGAAGGAAAGATCCATTACCCTACCTTGCTGGCCTAATGCTCGTTGGCAGTGGCTTACAGCACATGGCATTCACAGGCGGTTATTCATTTAGGTACTGACTAAACTCAACGCTTCAAGACTTCGCTGATTGGACAAAAACCGTTATTTCAACGTAATAAGGATGTAAGCATATATACATAAATATATTATATTTCACCCCTATATTTTATTTAGACCGCTACCTATCGGCACCAATTGCTATTATTCCTAGGTCCGCTCTGAACCGGGGTGGTAGCACTTGTTAGGACCCCATTTATTGGCAAATAGTGAACCCCCAAATCCTATGAAAGTATAAAAATGCCTTTTTATAGTAAAAATACCAACAATACATTTTTGTGTAAAACAAATAGCAACAATACCTATTAATAGTAAAATTAGCAATGTGAACAGCAATACATTGTAGTTAAAGGCATGCAATTGCGTTCAAAATATATTTAATTGAAGACATAAAATTGTGTTCAAAATATTTAGATTTCGGCATGAAATAACCCATAGAGTTTGATATGCCGCTAAATAAAATCAACCCAACAGCCAACATGAAAGAAAATTTTCAGGATATTAATCCTTATAATATACAATTTCTTAAATCAAACTGTATTCCAAAATATAACTTTAAAAAATACAACATAAAACACACATATCAGCGGCTCTAACAATTATGTCCACACAAACATGTATATGCACAAAAGCTGAGTATCATCTACCATGTATTCAATTGTGAAAGCAGAATAACATTTTTATTACTTCAAAGTTACTTACAAAATTAAATTTCGTCATTAAATGACCCATAAGTAGCCGTCAAACAAATCAACTAACTTACCTACAATATAAATTTTATATACACATACACTGCTGGCCAAAATCTTAAGGCCAATCAAAAAGAAAAAAAAATCTTTTGCGTTGTTAAATTTTTGACCAGTTAGCATTTATTCAAATTTTCCCTATTAAATGCTAAAAAAAAAAAAAAAAAAAAAAAAAAAAAAAAATTAGTCAAGTTTTATTATTTCCCTTTTCTTATTTTAATTTTAATTATTTGAAGCCTTACTCAAGTGGTTGAGTCTAACAACACATATATATATATATATAATTTTCATTGCCCTTAAGATCTGGACCAGTTGTGTGTGTGAATAAAGACAACTTTTCTTTAGCGACGCGTTTCGTCCTCTGAAGACAAATGTAAGGATTTTGTTTTGCAGCAAGTATTAATAAACAAATGTAAAAATATCGTTAATTTTTAAGTGTGCAACAACGAAAATCTCGAGACAATGACAACAAAAAGGACGCAACTACTTAACATCAGGAAGCGACAGTTGACATTTTTGAGGCAGATAATGAGAAAAGAAGGCTTAGATAATTTGATACTCACATGACAGTTTTAAGGTAAGGGAGACAACGGAAAATAACATAACGTACCTGGTGAGCTGGTGTGAATGTATAGCGGAGCAGAATTTGGAGAGATGACAAAAGGACAAAAGATACTAAGTGCTACAAACGACAGAAAATTGAGGAGAGCCATGATCGTCAACGTTCTGCAGGGACACAGCACATAAAAGAAGAAATATATCCATTACGCTGTGAAATCATGATAATCTATGGAAGATGCTAAGTGATGTAATTAATGCCTAATGAATGAAAGTGAGTAAATGTTGAATGTAATTATTTTATTTTAGTTTGAGAAATTAATTTATTCATTTATTTATTTTTATAAAAAGTTTTGAATTTAACCTGAATCTTAACACGCACATTAATATATATATATATATATATATATATATATATATATATATATATATATATGAAATTTCTCCGATTTAACCAGTAGAGAAGACAATATTTATGAATAAAAAATGACAATAGGAAAACTGGTAATTGCTGACGCGTTTCGTCCAATGTGGACTTTATCAAAGCAAAATACGAAAATGAAATTAATTGAACAAAGTAATTAATAAAAACAAAAACAGAATGTACCTAGCAACTGGAATGTAGAGAAAAAAATATGAAAATAGCGTTTCTCTACATTCCAGTTTCATTTTCGTATTTTGATTTGATAAATTCCACATTGGACGAAACGTGTCAGCAATTACCAGTTTTCCTATTGTCATTTTTATCCATATATATATATTTGCAGCAATCTTTCTTTTAAACATATTTCATAGAATATGACAGACAAGGAAAATTTAATTCATTTTTTATTTAGTTTGTACAGCATTCTTAACATTTTTCGGTTCGGTGGGAGTAAGGAAGAGCAAAAACTTCGTATTGTTCATTGTCTCAAGCGCTTTTGGTCACTTCTTTAGCCATTTTCAAGGGGTTTGCTTTTATGCGTTGTGTATTTCTCTTCATGTTTATCTCTGTTTTTGTTCGAATTCAAGTGAGTGTGTTTCTATTGCTTTAACTAAAACTTTCAACACCCCATTACCAGTGTTGAATAAGGCGAGGTTGATAGTAGAAGCGAGATATTTTATATACAGATCTTCTCTCACACGTTTCCAGTAATTTGATTTATATAGAATTTTTGTGTTTCCGACCAGAATTTTCCTTAAAGGATTTAGTAAATTGCGTGTGGCTTGATGTTTTTATGACACTTTGATCTGATAAGTGAGGTGTCTATTCGAGGTGGTAGTATATTCGATATATATATATATATATATATTATAATAATAATAAATAGAACCTAGTCTGACGATCTCTGATTGCAAAAGTGAAACTGGAGTCATCTCGGTGTTATTAATTTTATTTATCTTACGTGTTATAAGAAATCAATGAATTTGTTATCCGACATGATTTCCTACTACTAAGCCTATTTTATGGATATTCATGTTTGGGTAGACGCCCTGTTTTTTATAGTGTGACTACCGGTTTGCGCATTCGAGACACCGAATTAAATTATTAGGAAATAAAACAAATCCATTTGTTTACGCTTCGGATAAAACAGCAACGACAAAGCATATAATGATGTGTACTTTCCTTTTTGGATATCTTTTGCGGGACTCAATTTGTTTATATCGGCAGTGATTATATCTGTCAGTCTATATATATATATTTTATGTATGTATGCATGTATTTATGCGTCTTTCTATGTATATACGTATGTATCTGTATATCTATGTACCTATCTATGTTTCGATGTTTCTATCTGCCTGAGGCTGTTCATATCTATCTATGGCTGTTTATACGGATCTTGTTTTTTTTTTTTTTTCATTTATCTCGTCTCTTTTTTGTTCACTTTTTCTTACTTATCTTGTGTGTAGCTTGTCACTTGCCGCTTGACGGAAACACCAGGAAAAAAAGAAAAAAGAAAAAAAAGAAAAGCAAACAAACCTCGAGCTATGAGTTTTAACATTTCCTTCCGGAGGAACAGTGACGAACATTAATTGCACACATTCTGAAACGCTCGTATATTTTTCTTATCATTCCTCTTTCGCTATAAATTTGGATTTTAAGCAACGATCTTCATAACTAGGATGTGTGTGTGTAGCGTAAATGTTATTGTTATGTTTCCTGGGATTTTTTACACTGTACCATAATTATTGCCACCCTTTCATACATATTTCATACGTTAAATGTAACAATTATTATGGGACAAAGGACGGGATTCTTTAGGATCATGTGTTTCTTGGAATTTTTAAAGCTGTCCCATAATTATTGCCACCCTTTCATACATATTTCATACATTAAATGTAACAATTATTATGGGACAAAGGACGGGATTCTTTAGGATCATGTGTTTCTTGGAATTTTTAAAGCTGTCCCATAATTATTGCCACCCTTTCATACATATTTCATACATTAAATGTAACAATTATTATGGGACAAAGGACGGGATTCTTTAAAAAAGCTGTCCCATAATTATTGCCACCCCTTTCATACATATTTCATACATTAAATGTAACAATTATTATGGGACAAAAGGACAGGATTTTTAGGATCATGTGTTTCTTGGAATTTTTAAAATAATTATTACCACCCTTTCATACATATTTCATTACATTAAATGTAACAATTATTATGGGACAAGGACGGGATTCTTTAGGATCATGTGTTTCTTGGAATTTTTAAAGCTGTCCCATAATTATTGCCACCCTTTTCATATTTTTCATACATTAAATGTAACAATTATTATGGGACAAAGGACACAGATTCTTTAGGATCATGTGTTTCTTGGAATTTTAAAGCTGTCCCATAATTGATATTTCATACATTAAATGTAACAATTATTATGGGACAAAGGACGGATTCTTTAGGATCATGTGTTTCTTGGAATTTTTTAAAGCTGTCCCATAATATTTCATACATATTTCATACATTAAATGTAACAATTATTATGGGACAAAGGACAGGATTCTTTATTTCTTGGAATTTTAAAGCTGTCCCATAATTATTTGCCACCCTTTCATACATATTTCATACATTAAATGTAACAATTATTATGGGACAAAGGACGGGATTCTTTAGGATCATGTGTTTCTTGGAATTTTAAAGCTGTCCCATAATTATTGCCACCCTTTCATACATATTTCATACATTAAATGTAACAATTATTATGGGACAAAGGACTTGTTTTTAAAGCTGTCCCATAATTTACATATTTCATACATTAAATGTAACAATTATTATGGGACAAAGGACAGGATTCTTTAGGATCATGTGTTTCTTGGAATTTTAAAGCTGTCCCATAATTATTGCCATTTTCATACATAT